ATATATATATTTATCTATCTCTATCTATCTACCTATCTATCTCTTTGTCTCTCTCCCCTTCTCTTTCTATATATCTCTCTCTCCCTCTCCCTCTCTCTCTCTCTCTCTCTCTCTCTCTCTCTCTCTCTCTCTCTGTGTGTGTGTCTCTCTTTGTCTCTCTGTAGAAGTAAAATCAAAAGTAGCCTTGTGGATCAGTCAGTGTATTACTGTTACACTTATATCTAGATCTAAATCGGTCTTGTTTCGTCTTATTCTAACTGTATTGCATACAATGATAATATGTCACGACGCGGTGGAATCAGGCGCTCGTCAATGTTTGGGTATATTGAGTTATGGATATCACCTTAAAGCCTGTTCATTTGCCTTCATTTTGGTGAAAAAAAATCCATCTGTGTTGAACAGAAGTCGAAATATTTGCGATTGAAGAAGGTCGGGGTCGCCTGGTTTCAGAGGTAAAATTTTCGAGAAATTGACTGCCAAAGTTTAGTAGCTTCCTTAGCCTGAGAGTCCTCAGAAACTGAAAGTTTATATTTCTGTGCCTCTTATCAGATCAATGCTTTTAAGTAAAATCCACACAAAAATATATTTCTAAATGGACTTAAAAGGTGATGAGCCAATATAAAAAAAAGAAGAGAAAAAAAACATTCGAAAAAAATGCCCAACGTCCATAAAAATGCAGATTTCTTTAATTGATTTCATTATTTTGACGAATGCATGCTTTCACCACGATGCCTCACAATATTTTTTAACAAACCTTGGCCTCGAATGAGAGAAAACTCCACAGCGAGAATACAACTCGAGAGTCACCACAGATTGTGAAATTCACGAACGCTTCTGGCGATATTTGAAAATGAAGATCGCGAATCCCCACACTTTTATTTTTAAAGAATGACCCCCAACGCTGAAACAAAATGTACTTTAATATCATTCCTTAAATGTACTGGAATAGATTTTGTCTATTTGGTTTATGTCTTGACCGGAAAATATCAGATACAGTCAGTTTTTCCCCTCCCCTGTACAATTTGCTCCGTGTGGAATTCAGAGTGTTTTCAGGCGACCGACGATAGTATTTTCTCACAGAAAAAAGAAAGTGTGTATAGAAATTTAATATTGCCCTTGCAAACCAACTTCGCTATAAAAGTTAGTATCCTACAATCGACAATATTACTCGAGCATTTCACACTTACCGTTTCCTAGCTATCATTTAACACAATAGAATAAAATAAAAGCAATGCATCCACAGTGAGTGAATTACGTCTTCATGAGCTGAATGATTTCATCTCCTCTTTCGATGTGTCTGGATTTGATTGATCTTGGTATGCACCACTGTAGCCTTTGCAAGGCGACCCTAAAGATAAGCCATTCACAGAATAAAACACTGCCACTACCACTACCAGCTCAAATCTATATCCTTTTCTACGCCTACGTAAGGGTGTTTAATCTGACAAGCTTCAAACAGCCCTCTAGTGGAACGAGTACGTTGACCAGCTAGCAGCTAGCTAGGAGTTGTGTATAGACCTATTCTAAAATTGACTAAAGTCACCAGATCACAGCAAAGGCTACTAGATCTACCCCACCTAGGGCAATGACGAATGCATGAATTCTATGACTCAGATCGACCCATAGACGTGTAGTATCCTAGATCATGCACTCTGAAGTATTTCCGGTTCACTATACAGGGCATTTTTAAATCCAAAATATACATGTAAATAAAAGGAAGGGAAGTCACCGCGTGTGCTCGACTTGATAGCGAGTCTGGAGCTTTGTTAAACGTGTTCATTCATCTTTTTGGTGTAGTTATGGGCCCAGTGGTGTACACGCTACGCAGTGAAGCTTTTTTTTTTTTAAATAACGAAAAATGGCGGCCATTACAGTGCATGATCCAGGTGAACGAGTCTCTGGATCGATCAGAGTAACAAAGAAAGAGAACGTGAGCGCGGGCGAGGACGAATTGGCGTGTCGACGAATTTATGATTAAAGCTGTGCACACCCATTTAATAAATCGGTTCTGTTGGGTCGGGTTGGCTTGGGAAGTTAGGGTGGCTTGTGTATGTATCAGATTTTCAAGGAAAACATCAGGAATTGTCATAATAAGTGGGTTTTATAATATTTTATTATAGGCCCTTTAATTCCCCTCGTAATCGGTCTACTCTGATTATTATGCACCAGTAAGTAGCATAGTGTTGTACATGGATTCTTCTTAAAAAATGATTTTACCCCTGCTCCCAACCCACCCACCCAGATACACACACACACACACACACACACACACACACACACACACACACACACACACACACACACACACACACACA